TTGTTGTTATGTTAAATGCAGCATCATTATCACCATCATCGTCGTAAATTTGTAATTATCGTGGTCATAATCATCTATGCTTTTGTATATTTATTCAATTGAGATCATTTTGTTACTTAATTCAATCACACTTTTTGAATATGTAATTTTGTAAATGGTAAATCCAATCAATAAATTATGTGAATGGTAATTTTCAAATTGCAGCTTAAAAAATTGGAGTCAAACTTAAAATTGCTTCAGTCTCTCTCTTTCTCTAGAATATTGAAATATCTTTCACTGTGATTTTTGCTATTTTCATGAACATCTGATTTTTTTTTTTGGGGAGAAAGTTAGCTGATGTGCTAATTCTTCAGCCTGTGTTTTTCAAAATTTTGGATGGGTAACTCAACAAATCTATAATGCATTAAAGAAAGATCATTGTTAAAGAACTTGGCTGAGTCGACTCAGGCATGGTTGAGTATATCTCTTGGCAAACTTGGGATTATTTTCAAGAATGTCTCAAAAAATTAAATTTATCTTTAGTAAATGACTGATAAATGATGCAAGAATATGTTTCTCTATAATGTTTATGTTTTCTATGATGATTTGTGGAATTTTCTTATTATATGTTTCATTATAAATCAATTTTCTCCATATTCCCTCTTCTACATCTATTTTTCTATTTTTTGTCTACTTTTAATATTGTGTATTACTTACTTTAGCTTTTTACTGCTTTTGTATATTTAACAAATGTTTGGTAATTTGTTTTTGCAATTTTGATCCCTTTTCGGTTTCGTACACGACTTGGTGAGTCCACTCGGACTCGCTGAGTTGTGCCGCTTAGGTAGGGGTCGAGTCCTGAACCTGAGCTGAGCTTTCGCACATCAAGAAAGATACATCAACCTCAATCTTATTTCCATAATAAAAATATTTAGTATTTATTAGAGTTAGTTGGATTCTATAAATCCTTTCCAACTGCTTACTTAGATTGATGGGCTAATTGAAGGAAACATTAGGGGAAGCTTCATGGTGCATCTCCCTTAGTGGGTTGAGGCTGGATTTCCTATGCAATGCGGACTTTGGGGTATGGAGAACGTCACCATCAATATCCTTAACCTCTTAGAAAGTTCCTTTTGGATAGTCTATGATGGAGGCTTTGATTCCCTTTGGCATTTCTTTCACTTTTTCAGAACCTGAATCTTCTCACCCATCACCAAGTTTGACTTTGAGGTTCATTTTGGTTGAACCTGTAATTTTCCAGCCTTCCAAACAACCCAAATTATTTGAAAAAAACAAAAGGAGGGGGTGGGTTTCCAGTCAAGTTTGACCCATGTTCAGTAGCTACTGAAACTCAGCTGCTGCCGATGATCCATACGACTATAGAAAGAGTATTGTTAAAAGAATGCCATGGCGATCCAATCAATGTGTGGATCGCGATGGAAAGAGAGTGGGATCAGTATTGTTTAAAAAATGTCATGACCGTCCAATCAATTGGTGGATGGTGACGGAGCGAGTGACATGACCCAATTAGTTACCTTGCTTAGGAGGTTGGAGGTTCAGTTAGTTGGACTACATAGCCCCATGACCGTTCAATCAATGGGTGGATGGTGACGGAAAGAGAGTGGGATCCATAACAACAATGACATGATCCAATTTGTTACTTTGAACGAGAGTGGGTCCCACTCTCTCCATCATTGCGCATCTATTATCGCATAGACTGGGTTCATCATTGTATACTTTACCTTGTTTAGGAGGTTGAAGGTTCAGTTAGTTGGACAACATAGCTCCATCCTTGTGTGGAAAATTTGGCATCTATGAAGGGTCTATAACATACCCCATTTGCTTTCGAGTGAACTAGGGTCATTTGATAGAAGCCTTTCCAAGGTCTCTCGACCCTCTCTTTGGTTGAGAAATTTACGGTCTTTCCCTTCTATGGGGGGGAATGAGTTAGGGTAGATATGTTTCAGATCCTCAGTCTTCTCTTCCAGGAGAAGAGGGGCATGTGGTTATCTCCACTCCAGGAGAGAAACCAAAACGTCTCTTTGTAGGAGCAACATGGCGAAAGATACTCTGCCTTGATCAGTTGCTTTTTGGAAATCTATTGTTTTCTTAAAATATTAATTTTATGAATTAAATTGATATTCAAATTTGACAAAACTTATCATTCAATTTAGTGCCAGTCTGTTACTCTCCTTTCAAGAGAAAGCTTGGGTTGAGTCCTTCTGACTATCTTCACTTGCATAGAAACTACCATTTTTGTAGCTCCAGTGAGTAGTACTTATGTCGTACACTTGTATATCCTACATGCAAATATATCCAATTAATACATTTCAAAACACACATACATGCAGACACGCACCCTTAATGGCAGGCAGCTCTTTTGTAGCAAGTCCTGCATAGCTGAAATTAGGGATTAAAACTCATCTTATCCAACAAAAAATACATTTTATCTTATATATTTTCTTCATTTGATATCCTGTATGGAACATGCATCTCTAAATGATTTGCACAAAGAAGTAAAACTAGCAATACTTATCATTAATAAGTGACGGCAATCAGTTTTGTTTGTCAAGAGTATTTCTTATTTTGTATCTAGACGTGCCATTGATTCAAGACCTATCAAGTACTTGATTCTCAGCCAAGTGCCTTGCTAACTTAAATATATATTCTACGAAGTATATCAACTTTCTAAGCTTTTTTGGCTGTCCAGAGTGGCACCCCACAGTATGGTCTGTGATACTTGTTGCACATAGCTTACTGAAGCCTTGTAGTGAGCTTAGTGAGCACATACAATGCTGTTAAGGAAGTATCATATCATGGGATTTCTTTTGTAATGTCCTTGCTCCGGAAGTACAACTTTCTGGATATTATATAAGTTCAGAGGGAAAGAACTCTATAAGCTGATGGGCTATGGAAATGTATAGTCAATTGGGGTCATCTCCATCAAATTGATTGATAGTGATGGATAGAGAGTTGGACTCACCAGTCACCACTAGGGTCATGTCCTATTCTGGTGTCTCAAACTCTCCTTCCAAATTGTCCATCATTTTATCGGACGCTGATGAACCAATGGACTGTATTTTTCCATAATCTATTTGGAATATAGTAAATTGGAAGATCAAATTTGTTCTTGTAAAGTTATAGTGTACAGATGATGACTTTTGAGCAACTACTTCAATCGTCAGGATTGAAGCATTAAAGGTCTAATGTTGAAGGAAATGAAACACAAGAAGTAGAGGAATCCAAATTAGTTGCTTTGGATTCTGTATTGATGAGTCTATCTACATGGAAAGCACATCATTATTTTGGGATATGTTAGAAAACAGAGAAGCGAAGTTGATTACTTGCTGGTTTACATGAGCAGGGAACCCATTTCTAGAATGGAAGTTCAGTTTTGTGCTAGTAGACATAAAATATAGCATAGTCGCTTTTTCTAAACTACAGAGGATTGGGATCTTATTTCTTTAAAATGGAAGGAAATGAAAAATGCATTGGCAAAAGAATAAGAGGAAAAATATGGTGTATTGATTTTCAATCCATGCAAAGGACATCACAACGACTTAGCTTCTTTGGAATTAGTTAAGAAATGGAGAACCATCATCTATTGGGGTACTGTATGCCATAATCCACTAGATTATGAAAACTTTGTCAAAATAAAATGCTATGTTTGTTGAGAATGGCTTGCACATGCGAGTGTTCTAATATTTGTAAAAGTGCATACTGTGCCAAAGTTGTAGCCCTTGGAACTCCACATAATGGATGCAAAAATTTGTGCAGAAATCAATTCATCAGAAGTTAATTCTCTATTTAGTTTTCTTTGATAAGTAGTTCCAGTGATCAAATATGATTTTAAATAAAAAAATTGCCAATCTTCCAATAGGCAAAGGGAGGATTGTATTGAATGGTAAGAACAAGGTTTTTTTTGGTTCGTATTACAAAACCCCCAAAGAGTTCCCAGCAGACGCCATTGTTTGTTTCTTCATTTCTTCTTTTCACATAGTTTCATGCTGTGCATGAAGATTGCTTTTCTAGATGTAAAGAGTAATAATATAATTGTCTCTATTCCTTCAATCATCAATGCAAGTCATACTAGAGTTCTTTCAGTCTCTTCCACATCTGAATGCCCAACCTTGGACTTTCAACTTTGCTCCATTGTAGTATTCTTTGGTTTGAAGGCATTGGTAAAGTGTGGTTTGCTTTTATCTTGGAGGTCAAGAGTAAGGACAAGCTATTTCGATGTTAGTAATTTTGCATATCTTCATCTATAACATAACGGTCATGTCTCTGATCAAATTCAATGTGAAAGATCATGGATATTGTAGAGCTTTTGGGTGCATAATGTTAGTTTGCCAGGCAGACTAATTGTACTTTATGCATGAAGACCATAATTTCGTAGTTTCGTTGTTTTATTTTTAGTCAACATGCTTTTTGTTTAGCAGTTCTTTACTTCTTATTCTGGATACGTGTTAATGATGGGGAGGATGAGAAATGCAAGTCGTTCTTCTAGGATTTATGAAGGGAGGGAAATAGTGGAATCCTTAGGTTTGTGAGGTCAATTACTGCAGTTCTCACATAGAAGAAAAAAGCAACCATCATCTCAATGGTGCCAATTTAGGAAGAATTTTGAGGAATTATAGCGAGTGATTTGATATAAGATGCAGATAACGCGACTTATGATTTCATTGAGGGTATGGCCCTTGGAAAAAAAGATGAAGGTGAATGGACGGAACGAGATACAGGTGACAATGCAAATGAGGATTGTCCGATTTATAGGATGCGATCATGTCTTAAGAGATGCCAATGAATCCATCGATTCCTTGGCCAGACAGGGGGAGCAGCCCCTCTTCCTTGAAGGTTATACAGGTATTTTTGTGTTTCATTGTTGGAAACCTAGTGTAGAAGAAAGATTTGTTTCTGTAGCCAAGGGTTTTGTTAAACTTAGAAATTGAACACCAAACACATCGAGGCAGGCCTTCACCCATAACTGTAAAAGTAAAGAATAACTAAACAAATCAATATGAAAAAAACCATTCATATGCTTATATAAGACAACAGTACAAGAATGAGAAAACGAAAAGAATTCAAAGAATAGCTTACTGCACATTATGCTAAAGCATGAAAACTGATTTAGGACTTGGAAGAGTATTGGTAGGTTCATGGACTCATACTGGGCTTCAAAATTTTGATCGATCACTAGTATCATGGATTTTCAAATTTGGACTGGAATATCCTTCTCACTCCCCTTTTTCTGTAATCGAATTTGAAATATCAAATGATATTCTCAGCTCGATAAAGAATGTTTGACAAAGAATGATAGGCAAAGAATGCCATTGATCAGTGGGACTTCCTGCGGGAATGCCAGGGAGCCTGGCCTCCCTCAAAGAAATTGAGCAAGGCAGCCTCGAGGTCTTCCACAGAGTACTTGATGTACAGTTCAGAGTGCCGTCCGCTTTCCAGGTGGTTCCTGAATCTCCCCAAGAATGAGCGGTAGGCAGGCAACAACAACTCTTGTATTGAAATCCTCAGCTCCTCTCTCAATTGCACATCGGGCACAATCCACGTAGCTTGGGTCCGGTGCACTTCATCGAAGGCAGAGTTGAAGCTCTTGAATCTCTCTTTGAGTGCTGCCTTCGACACCCCTGACAATAAACCCCCACTCACATGGATGCCCTCGTCCCTCAAGCACAAGAGCACCGGCGCCCATGTGGTCCTCAGGTAGCTCGTCGCACGCACCCTCACCCTTCCTGTGTGCTTCCTAAGCCAATCGTCGCCTAATAACTGTCGTAGCTCGGGGGATCCATTCACTTTTTGGACAACGTAGCGTGCATTGTTCATTAGGAAGAGGTGAGACTGTGATGGGTCTCTGTAGAGCTGTGCCTTGCCCTCAAGATTGTGCTGCAAGATGGTTGTGATCCATTTGAGGTGGACCGTTAGGGGAGGCGGCATTGGGACGTCCGATTCTGGAGATGGAAGGTCCAATTCCGGCAAGGGCTCCCCACCAGGCACATTTCGTGGTGATGGATTCGTCACAATGAGCTTCGAAAGAGTCTCTTGGTACAGAGAGATGAGATTTGTATAGTTCATGACATAACGGGTAAGTGGGTGTATGGTGCCTCCTGGCATTGGAGCCCTAGAATTCTCGCGCTGGATTGCGTTCTCAAACTCTGATAACGTTCCCCTTGCCGCCTCCCCAAGCCTCGTCAAGATCTCTGAGGCTTGGACCCTCACAGAGTCTGATGGACCCCCTCCTTGAAAGACCAGAGATATATCGGGGACGAGTTCCGACAGTGCATCATGGAGGTCAAGAATCTTGAAGAGTTTCTCAGGGGACCTTCTCCCAATGCTTATGGCCTCTGCAAAATTGAAGAGCTGGAGGGTGGCACCTTTGACAACCTCCATGAAGCAGGCATCTCCGATGCCCTTTGCGCCCTCAAAGACGCTCTCACAGAGGAGGCGCTCACTCGCGAAGAGTAGGCGAATTGAGGCACGTGCTGCCCGCACCCACCGCTTGATGAGGCCCTCGACGACCTGCCACTCGAGCCGCTGCACATCCCCGATGCTCATCCTCTCAATCCCAAATTGCTCATACCCTGCATCAACGATCGGCTTGCGGACGCTCCCGAAGACCTGAATGCACTCTCTTGAGTACCCAGCAGAGACCATGAGCTCAGCGATCTTCTTGAGCTCAATGATCGCCTCATCAGGGATCTGGTCAAGTTCATGAATTGTATCGGTGGTGACAGTTCCTCTTTCCTTAACATACGTCTCTCTCTCATTACCGAAATCTTGATCTTCTTGCTCTTGCTCTTGCTGCTCTTCTTCTTCTTCTTGAGTGGGGTCGTCTAGATTAGATGAGAAGCTCGTTGAGCGATTCTCTCTCCTTGATATTGAGCAGGAGAGAGAGAAGGATTCCGAGAGAGAATCAGGGTCAAGGGGCTCGCTGTGCAGGACAAGGATATGTCGGAACTCATCCTCGAGACGCGCCATTGCAGCCTGAATAATAGGCTTTGCGCGCTCATGGTCTGGGGAGCGGAGGGTGGTGTTAACTGCTGAGAGGTAGCGTGCAGCCTCGTCGGGCTGCCCACCATCAAAGATCATTCTCTCTCTGGCATCGTCCGAGGATGCTGTGTCCCACCTCATGATCAGCTTTTCTGCTGCTTCAAGCTCTTCAGGCAATGGGGTTTGTGGTGGATCCACCATGGCTATGGCTTGGAAGCTCTTTAGAGTTTAGAGAGAGTGAGAGAGAGAGGTGGCTGAAATCTTGAATGGGTTTCAGAGAGAGAGAGAGTTTAAATTCTGAATGGAGTTTAGAGTGGGAAATTGAGTCAAATCTTGTCTGAAAATTGGAGAGGAGAGGGATGTGAAGGTTTGGGAGGATAAAAGAGAGTGGCAGACAATTCAATATGAACTTGGTCTTCTCAACTGTGTAGACCACTTGGGAATATCTGAAGAGAGAGAGATCTGAGGTTGTGTATGGATTTTAGTGGTGGACAGGTTTTTTGAAGTGAAACGCCTTCCCTGTTCAGCAGTACACCATTTGAACTTGACTAGCAATATGATACCAGATGTTTGCTCAATTTGGTTTTGGAGAGAGAGAGTGACAGTGTGAGTTCCAAATGGAGTCAGCAGTAAAACCATTTGGCAATATCAAAAAAAACCAACTGGGTTCGTCTGAAATTTATGGGTTTCAGAGAGAGAGAGAATTTTTGGGTTAGAAAGAGCGAGAGAGCTCTCTTTTTGCACTCTGGTACACATATTTCAGCAGTAAAATCGGGTGTATCTGAAATTTAGAACTTGGGTTTCAGAGAGAGGAAATTTTGGGTTAGAGAAAGAGAGAGTGCCCGTGCTCTCTGAATGGAACCAGCTCTCAGTGTTTGATGGGTAAACAAATGGCGATGTCTCGAAGTGAGAAGTTCGGGGTTGAAACGCAAAAGTCAGGATTTTCGTGTCAAAACGACCCTCTTTGAAAACCGGATTTTCTCGGCTTTAATTCCGGCCAAAAAGTCGCCGGTGAACTCAGATACCGGCCAAGACGTTACCTGATCTCGATTCGAGGAGAGAGAAGTTTTGTTTTATCGTGGGAAATGTTTGTTTATTCTCTCGTTCATTGATTTAACCGCTTGTTTTATGTGTTTATTTGTTTAGTTCTTTCTACAGCTAACTCCAGTAGGTTCACTCTGTATTCTTACTCCCTTACGTAAAAGAGCTACTAAATACAAGGATTTTTTTTTGGAAATTTCGTATCCAATAGTAATGAGCATTTTCAATTCATCTGTTTTGAACATTTCTTACCATCCAAAAGTTGGAAGCCTTTTTTGAATATTATGACACTTCTCAAGAAATTTATCAACATATATCGAAAAGTTGAACTACTTAACATTTTACTATTAGTTTGATAAATCTCAAAACCCATTTGAATTTGTCATTTCAAGGGCTATTTAAATTTGATCAGCAAAAATGATGAACTACAATAAAATTAGATAAAAAATATTATTCAAGGTGCTAAATGGTCTAATAAATTTCCCTATTTTTGGGGCAAGAATGCTTTTGATTTTCTTTTTCTTCTTTGAGGTTGGTTGTTGAGGAGGTTAGATACATAAATTTTGAAATTTCGAAATAATTCCAGCCAAGGATCTGCCCGAGGGAGCAAAGGGACAATATACTCCCGTGGGAGCATATAATCTTTTGGTTTACTCTACATACAAAATTTATGTTTTTAGGAACCCCAAGGGTTGTGATATTTGTTTCTATTTATGGTGGGGTTATTATTATTGGGAGTTGGGTTATATTATATGGGAGAGCCAGGGTGTTTTGCATTGGATTGCATGACCCAGACCATGCCATCCTTGGAAAAGTTAAAAATATCCAAAATTGTCCTAAACCTAAGATTCTTGGATATGCTCCCATCCCTGATCTCTATGCATGCCTTGAACATAAAGAAAAAGATAACATTCAAATGCACTTGGATCTTTATAATATATTTTTTATTACGGTTTGTATAAGGCCGAGGTTCTAAACAATTAAAGTAAAGCACACCTTCAAATAGTGTTGAGAAATGTAATTTTAATACTAAAAATCTTTTTGATAGCCTTAAAATATATTTGGACAGTCTTTGTTCAACTTTGAGATTTTATCTGTTTCAAGCGCATAGTGTAATTAGGAACTTTTTTAAAAGTTGAGGTTAGGCCATGTTCCCAATAATTGGCATCTTGAAATTGTTCGTATATCGTGTTTTATTTGAGGGAATAAATGGACAATATACTCTTGCAAGATCATGAACTCTTTTGGCTTTTATTTTTACCTTATTAAGGAAAATGATCAAATGAACTAGGCTTTTGGAGAAAAGAAAAGGTGCACTTGATCTTGAAGGATGCGATGTATTTAGGGCCCGTTTGGTTTATTTGGTTTATTGGATTCATATTTTTAGGAGTCATTTTTTCTAGAAAAGTTGGGCCAATTGTGTTTGATTCGCTTAGAATACATTGCGATTGGAATTGAGAATTCTTTGGGATTCTTGAATGCTCATTTTAAGCCTAAATTTTGGAAATCGCAATTCCCTCAAAATAGGTGGAATTGACATATCATGAAAATAATCCATTTTGCTGCTAAAGAACAAAAAAAATATTAAACTTTTTTAAAGAGAAATTATATCAAATTTTAAAGACAAAAAAATATATTAAAATTTTAGAGAGGGAAACGATATCAAATTTTAGAGAGAGAAACCATATGAAATTTTTTAGAGACAGAAAATATACAAATTTTTTTAATGAGAGAAACTATCTCAGATTTAAAGTTTTAGAAAGATCATATTAAAATTTTAGAGAGAGAAACTTCTCAAATCTTAAATTTTTGAGATATAGAGTATGTTAAAATTTTAGAGAGATGAACTACATTAAATTTTAGAAAGAGGAATTACTTAAAATTTTTTAGAGAGAAATATCTCAAAACATTTAGACAGAGAAACTACCAAAAAACGTTTAGAGAGAAAAACTATCTTAAATTTTTAGTTTTAGAGAGAGAAAATATCTTAAAACTTTAGAGGGAGAAACTATATCAAATTTTAGATTGAGAAAGTACTTGAAATATTTAGAGAGAGAAACTATTTAAAATATTTTAGATAGAAAAACTATTTCAAATTTTAAGTTTTAGGGAGAGAAAGTATATTAAATTTTTAAAGAGAGAAACTACTTAAAAATTTTAGAGAGAGAAACTATCTCAAATTTTTAAGTTTTAGAGAGAGAAACTATCTCAAATTTTTAAGTTTTAGAGGGAGAAACTATATCAAATTGTAGATAGAGAAAGTACCTAAAATTTCTAGAGAGATAAACTATTTGAAAAATTTTAAATTGAAAAATTATATCAAATTTTAAGTTTTATAGAGAGAAAGTATATTAAAATTTTAGAGAGGAAAACTACTTGAAAATTTTAGAGCGAGACACTATCTCAAAATTTAAGTTTTAGAGACAGAACATCTTAAAATTTTAGAGAGAGTAACTATATCAAATTTTAGAGTAAAGAAGTACCTAAAACTTCTTTTAGAGAGATACTATCTAAAAATTTTTAGAAGGAAACTTTCTCAAATTTAAAATTTTGAAAAACCATCTCAAATTTTAAGTTTTAGAGAGAGAAACTATATCAAATTTTAGATAGATAAACTATATCAAATTTTAGAGCGAGAGTCTATAAAATTTTTAGAGGGAGAAACTATCACAAAATTTTTAGATAGTGAAACTATTTCAATTTTTAAGTTTTTCAAAAAGAGAGTGTATTAAAATTTGGGAAATATTTCTATACTTCCCCTACAGTATAGAAGATCTTTGCTTCCCCTACCATCAAGTCGTCTAATTTTGATCAAGAGAGCAACTCACCATTTCATCTTAGATCTGACAGCTCAAAGTATTTTATTTTTAGTTTTTTTCTTCAAATTGTATGAATATGAAATTTGGTATATGTCATCTTCTCATTGGGGTGCACCTATAAAAAATATTAAAAATAATTTTTCGATAAAATATAATGACCAAACTACCCCTTGAAACTTTTAGGGGTATTTTGGTCATTTTATTTTATTAGATTTTTTTTTTATATATTTTTTGCTAGTGCAAGTTTAATAGAGGATTGGACATCTAAAATTTGGTGTCAAAATAGTTTATAGAAAAAAAAAAATTAAAACTAAGATAGTTTAGAGACATGACATTGTGATTGAGACAATCTTAGCTCTCCATTCAGAATAAACGATTGGATAAGGGGAAGTATATAAATTTTATGTTGTAGGGAAGCATAAAAAACTTGCCCTTAAAATTTTAGAGAGGAACTATATCAAAATTTTGAGAGAGAGCGAAAGAATTTGCATTTTTTAAAAAAAGATATTTCGGACAATCCAAACATGGAATTTGCATTTTTTTTATTTCTACCAGATGCGATCCAAACATGAAATTCTTATTTCTAGAAAATCCTAACATTTTCAAGAAATCTTAATTCCCGAAAATCTGAATTCCAAGATTGACTTTTTCCAAGATTAAAAAATCCAAGGTTCCAAACGGCCCTTGGAGTTTCATGATTAAAATGGAATTTCTTTAGACGGAAATGGTCAAATGTGCTAAGGCACTTTCACTGATGAGTCTAACACATTCGAACCATCACCTTTGTGGGCAGGGAGATGGATGCCCCTTTAGGGTTTTGAGCATCCAGATTGGTCCTACCTGATTAGCCAAACTCGTAGTAAGCCCAATGAGCTTGACTTACGTGATCGTACCGCTCTAAATGGGTCAAGTCTTGGTCAAGCACCTAGGCCCAACCTGAATCACGGTTGGGTCAAAGGCAATTAGACTTGGACCTAACCTCCTAATTCGAGATTGTATTTGTTGTTATCTGCCATATGGTCGTAATTGGGTAGAGTTAGGGTCAAGGAACCTAGGCCTAACTTGAATGGGGGTCAAGTTTAAGCCATGTGGACCCAGACCTGATCCGTCATGTTTAAATTTGTATCATATAGATACAAATTATTATAATTCAAATACTATCAAACAGTTATGACTGTATGATGGATTTTGGAGAATGATGAGTCATAATTGAAATACTATAAAGCTTCACCTATGAGAGTTTTTAATGTGTTGTGTGTGCACGTGTGTATATATATATATATATATAGTGATTTCATACAACGGTTGTATAATAATATAATACAATAATATTCAAAAACCATGTTAGAGCCATTTGTTTGTTCCAAAATTTAAAATATACACTCTTTTCATTCTAATAAACCATCACAAAAAAGAAAAATTTGAAAACATAACCTAAAAGGTATTTTTTAGCCGAATCAATATAGACTGTCCATTTTTTATAAGACACTTAAATCTAGGTTTTAAAAGGATTTTTTTTTTTCCAATTTTTTAGATGACTTTATTATCATTCGATGAATGATGTTAAAAAAGAAAAAAATGATTTTGAGTTTGTAAAGGCTAAGATCTAGAAAATCACCAAATGAATGGTCTAGATTCGTTGTAGGAGGAGACTTTTTTTAACCATATCTAGGGTTTAAATTGAACATTTTTTTTAGATTGATTATTGAGATTAAGAGTGTGTGTGCAAAATTTTGAGTTATACAAATACCACAAACATAGTTTTCTAGAAGTATTGTTTCATTATACTATAATACAATTGTTGCATTATGTCATTGCCATATATATATATATATATATATATAGTATAATATATGCTATGCCCCTTGGTTGGGTCAAGTTGGCTCAGACCCAACCCTTGACAAGTCTAGGTTGGACTTGGACAAGAGCCATACCTATGCAACATCTGGGTCCAAGTTTAGTGGTACCATAATTGACTTGTGGGGGTACATTGGGATGTCTAGACTTGGATATGGGTCGGGTCAACTTGACCCATGTGACACCCCTAATCAGCCAAGGGAGTTACTATACTTGTTGTTTGATTGGAGAAACCATCTAACATGGAAGTTTCACATGCACGGGGTGCATGGAGGCCCCATGCGCCTCTTTTAATTGACAAAGAGACATTTTCTAAAGGAAATTTTGAATGAGATGTCGTATGAGATGTCAATCTTATACTATAGAAGTAAGGTGCACCTCAAAAATTCATCTAAAAATGTTATTTCAACGCTAAAATACCTTTCAATTGATTCTGTTGACCTCAAAATGTATGGATATAAGAGAGGAAAGAAAAAAAAAAAAAAAGATTTCGAGTCTTAGTGTATCTTGTAATACATTCTCGAGACGGTCTAATTTCAAAAAACTTAACTGTTCACAAACCTGCCTAATCTATAGTATTTTGAAACTTTAAATTTTATAATTAAAGATAAAATAGATTTTCAAACCACTGCAAAGACTTCTGACATTAAAACGGCATCTTTTAACCGCATTTGGAGGTGTGCCTTACTTAGATTATTTAAGGTGCCAACCTAGTACAACCGCATCCTTGTCTAAAATATAAAGAAACCCGAATTCCATGGAATTTCTCACTCATTTATAATAAAAAGAAAAAAAGACAACAAAAAAAAAGAAAAAAAAGATTGACTTACATAGGAATCCATCACATGTGAAAATTTGTACTTAAGTGTCATCTCACTAAAATTTTTCCAGGTAGACTTGTATTTCGTATTCTAGAGATACAATGAAAGGGCAAAAGTAAAAGAGGACCACACGTGCAGCTGAGTCTGGGCCTTGAGGGACCATAAAGTGTTTAAATCTTTGAGAGCTATATTCATGTCGTCATTTTCTCCATTTGTCTATTTAAGAAGAAAACTTTAGTCTCCATATTGATCCCTGATGGATTTTTATATATGCAATCAATAACTTGTTCATCGTACCCACATGATGTCAAGCAGGCCAAGGCCATGCATCGTATGAGTGAGAGAGAGAGGCCATGAATCGTATGAGAGATAGAGAGAGAGAGAGAGAGAGAGAGAGG